GTCTGCGGAGCAATCTGAGGAGGAGGAGGTGGAGGAGAAGCAGGAGGAGGGGAAGGAAGAAGAGTATGAGGACAAGGAGGGAGATGCATCATCATAAAGGGATGCTGTTATCCAGGTTGGGAGTGGAAGTAGGGGGGGAGGGCAATCTCGTGAACGTTGTTTAAACGAACAATATGACTCGATGGACAAAATGGATGAAGATACTGTCGGAAGAGAAAATTTGGTGGACGAAATACTTGGGGGCGACAGAATGGGACGAGGGGGGAGAGGTGTAGTGAGGAGAAGAGGGAGGAAGAGTAGTTAGAGGGGCAGCAAGAGGATGAGCAGGGGGAGCAATCTGAGGAGTTGGTGGAGGAGACAGAGTCGGAGGAGGAGAGGAGGGAACGACGATCAGGGAAGAGGAGGATCATCCCAGGTGGGCATGAGTGGAGGGGGGAAGGTCAATTAAGTGAGAAAGATGAAGAGGTGGACATTGATGAAGAGGGTGGGATGAAAGTCGTAGGGACAAGTGAGAGGACAAGAGGGGGGAGGGTACTGAACAACCGAGAGGCAATTGAGGTGTGTAGTGGAGAGGCGAGGTTAGAGGACATCAACGAAGATATTGAGGAAATGAGAAACGACATGCAGCAACCGGATGAGGACGTGAGAGGGGCAAGACCGGAGCAATATGAGGAGGCTGTTAAAGAGAGCGGTGGACAAAGAAGTGGGAGGAGGGGAAGACGAAGACTATTGCACGAAGAAAGGAATGAAGATAGCGAAGAACTAAGAAATGTGGCAGAGGAACGGAATGAAACAGAGAGCGAGGGAAGAGCACCACATGGAGACGTTGCTGAGGAGAGCATGAGAGATGTGAGGGGCGGTGAGGGAGGAAGGGGAACGAGGGGGAGGGGAAGGACAAGGCAATTAAATGAAGAGGGGGTCGAAGTCGGTGATGGAGAGGATAGCGTTGATGAAGGCGAAGAAGAGGAGAACGAGGATGGCATAAAGGATATGGAACCGGAAGATTTGACTGACTTGATGCCGGATTGGACGGGTGACAGATCATACTTCAAGAGCATTAACAAAGTGGACCAACAAAACCATGAAATGGTTAGAGAGCATCTACTATTAGATTCGGATCGCTATGCTTTTGACCAGTCAAAGGTCGGGCCTCAAAGACTGCAAGGCTTACGAGATATGCCACCTCGCGAACTTTTTTTTAAGCTTTGGCCGCCCGAGTTATTTGAAATGATAGCGAAAGAGACAAATGCGTATGCGGACCTGCGCAAGCGGCAGCACAAAGAGAAGGGCAAACCCCCCGGAAGTGGAGACCGACGGACAAGATAGAGCTTATAGGATTTTTTGGAATAATTTTGTCCATGGGTTTCGTCCGCCTGCCAAATATGGACGATTATTGGAGAGGCGGGGATTACGGGGCAGTGTCTTTCGCTGACTTTGGAAAGGTTATCTCAAAGAAGCGATTTGAAGACTTAAAGCGGTACATCCATCTTCGAGATAAAACAGAGAGGCCTCAAGACACCAATACGAGAGAATACCGCCTTTGGCAGTTACAACCGCTCATCGACGAGCTTCGACGCACTGCTCGGAAGTACTACCACCCCGAAAAAGTGTTGTGTTTCGACGAGAGGATGATACTCATAAAGGACCACTATTGTCCTGTGAAGGTTGTCAATAAGAGGAAACCCCACCCTGAGGGAATTCAAGAGTGGAGCCTGAATGACTGTGAGACCAGATACTAGGTCGACTTTGATGTTTACGACAGAGTCCATCGACGTGCAGCGAAGCCTCGAACCCCAGGACGAAAGTTACAAACAGAGAACCTGGGTGTATTTCAGAGAGTCGTGTGGGATATCGTGTCAGAACTCGGGCAAGGGCATATCGTTGTCATGGATCGAGCGTTTGCTGAAACGCACCTGTTTCAAATGTTGAAAAATAAAAAGGGCATCCTTGTCACTGGCCCTGTGAAGTTGCCACACTCTTCAGCATTGCAGGATGTGCGGTCATTGACACTGACTGCACCACTTTCTGGAGATGCACCGGTGGGTGCTGTAAAGTGGACCCACATGCAAGCTCCACACACTGGGATGATTGCATGCGTTTGGAAAGCCAAACAGGACAAACAACCATATGCGTTCTTATCAACTTCCCACGGTTGTAAACCCGTGAGGGACGTTACGATTGGAATAGGAGGGCAACAAATTACTGTCGAGAAACCAGAATATGTTTCCTTTTACTTGAAGCACTCAAGTGCCACCGATGCGTTCAATAAAATGTGTTTGGGGCGGATCGGTTGCGAGGAGTTGATGGTATCTCGACGCTGGTGGCCGAGGTATATGTGGGGAAGGTTGGACGCGGTAGTGACTAATGCGTACATCCTACATAAGAGTGGATCGTCTTCAATGTTGAGTCATGAGAACTTCTGTTTGGAGTTGCAGCGGGAACTGGTGGACATAGCAAAGGCTGCATGGTTGCTGCCGAGGCAACCGGTTTTGCCCATTTATCGTAGGGCTGGGCGGGGAACCTCGGTAGAAAACCCCTACCCGGGGATGTTCACGGAGGCTCATTATCCGGGTCGAACCCCGTCAAAGCAGGAAAGTCTCATCAGGCATTCAATTGTATGGTGTGCTCATTGCTCGAAAAGCGAGGATACCCTGGGTGGACAAAAACTCGCACTAGTTACATGTGTCAGATATGTGAAGAGTCGTTGTGTGCACCATCGTGTTTCAGACTCTTTCATCAGTATACCATAGACGGGTTTGATTTCAACTATCGACGTAGTACGCACACAGATGGAGGAAGAAAGAGAAAAAGAAGAAGGACATTACAAGGTCAACGTCTCCCTTTGGGAGCTGTGGTTAGAGGAGAGAAAATTCCAGTTAACTTGCCATACGAAGACGCTATAATGGGCACAGGTGTGGAGAGGGAGGCCCAGGAAGAGGCCATGTTTGTGGCTTCTAGTGGGGATGGAAGCTCATGAAATCTCGAGCTGCAGTGCATTTCAGAAGTTGGGCATGTACAATAAAGGGGATGCGTACAGCTTCACTGGTTTATACTAGAGATTAAAAGCAATATTGAGGATGCATAATTGATTTGTATTAAAGAATAATAACAACATCGCAGATACGTACCACTTCATTACAGACACTTACTACTAGGAGTAACGATTTTGATTGAACTTACATTTGCATTACAAAGTACAGCGGGATGAAAACAACCAATAATATTGTAATCGTCAACTGATGCAGAATTTTTGCGAATGGACGGATGAAGATCTCGTGGATCATTGATGTGGGTTGTATTTTGTCCGCAAGGGTGTGAGAAAATGCTGCACAGATACCTCACTCGTGAAGGAATGACGTTGACGATGTGCTCGCCGCAACAAGTCCTTAATTTCATTGTTAAGAGGTTGTGGAAAGTTCCTGCAACAGCGATTGACATCTAGTTGTGGCGCGAGTGCAATTCGACAGCTGTGCGGGATAAAATTTTAGAATACGCCATGAAATCAGTGGAATGGGTGGCCCGCATCTTCGAAGATGCTGGCCTCGGGGCGGCTACGAGTGGTTACAATCCTTACAATCAACAGGCCTTTGTAAATCAGATTAATCTTTACCTTCTTAATCCGTTGGAGACATGCATGGACGCTGTAAATGATTTGTCAATGCGTAAGGGTGAGGTACATTACGTCGTTACATCACATCAGTGACACTTTCGAGAAGACCCATGTTTAGAAACATGGTCAGATATGATGTCGAAGGAATTAATAGAAAGTAAAAAAGAAGCGGACGAGAATTTGCAATACCGCGCAACAGGAACAAACATATGTATCCAATTAGAAGGAATTCAAAAAAAAAAAAAAAAAACACAAAAGAGCAGTGCAGTCCAGAGACGGAGACAAAGTGAGAGATGACAAATGTAGGAAAAGAAAATGCAACAAAGGAAGAAGGAACAAATTAAAAAATGAAAATGAGCTTGGAAGAAAAAAAAGAAAAAAAAATTAGCAAAGAAGAGATAAGAGAAAGATGAAGGAAAATATCAAGGGACGAGATTGTTTAACATGTCATGGAAGCGACGCATGAGCTGGAATGGAAATATAACCCAAAGAGAGAGGGAAAAAAAAACTGGTTTGAAGGAAACTGAAAAAGGAAGATGAAAATTTTGAAAGACATATGAAGTTCATGTTATACATATGAGGGAGGCTGTGGATGTAGGTTTGTGAGTATATTTTTGCTACTCTGTCTGTTTGTCTTCCAAAATGCTGAGACCATAAACACGTGAAAGTGATGACATCAACACATCAATGCACGTACAGTAATCATCATTTTTTATTCGGTCAATGTGGGGGAGGCTGTGGATGTACGTTTGTGAGTGTATTTCTGCTACTCTGTCTATTTGTCTTTCAAAATGCCGAGAGCATAAACACATGAAAATGATGACATCCATAAGTCAATGCACGTACATTAATCATCGCTCGTTAACCAATGCTTATTGTAACGCACTTAGCAAAGGAAAAGTTAATGTCAGCCTTATATCTTTTTTTTTTTTTTTTTTTTTTTTTTCTCTCTTTCTTTTTTTTTTTTTTTTTTTTTTTTTCTCTCTCTCTCTCTTTCGCTTTCTCTCTCTCTCTCGAGATTTCCCTCTCCCTTTCTACGTCTTTGCATGCGTATGTGTGTGTCATTTTGTCTTCCATTAACGTTTACTGAGTTTTCAGGTACAGTGGAGATTACTGTTTTTTTTTTTGAACTACTGATTTGGAATAGGGTTCGGACAAAAAAATCACGTTACTGGGAATATTGGTGCGCGTGTGGACAGATGAGTATGTGGGTATGGAAGTGGATCGAGATTTTGATCTGGATATTAGTTAGGATATGGAGATGGAATGTAGTCAGTAACAACCTTTCATTGTATGATTGGTTTTGACATGCTGACAGGGCGCTGAATTGTTTTTCAACATTTGGCTAATGTCATAGATAAGTTCATTTTGCGAATGTCCTTTCATCAATGTTTTCATTATCTACAAAACAGGATCGGGGTTCCCACGCCCATAATGATATTGTTTTTTAAATTGTGCTTGAATGAACATGTCCAACAAGGAGGTTATGCTCAACGAAACAAATATATATATATATATATATATATATATATATATATATATATATATATATATATATATATATATATATATATATATATATATATATATATNATATATATATATATATATATATATATATATATATATATATATATATATATATATATATATATATATATATATATATATATATATATATTTTAAATTACCATATACATTTCGGTTATAACTTTAAGATAGTACAGTGTTTTTTTTTATAAACTTACACCATGTCTTAAGTATGGTGTCATAAGCCCTCAACATAACATTAGGAGTGCATTCTCTGATTTGATTATATCTGCAATAAAACGCAGCACTGGACCTCGATTTTGATATGCATGTGGATGTGCATGTGGTTGTGCATGTGGTTGTCGATCTGAATGAGACTGATCTCGGTCTAGACCCAAAAAAGGATGAAGGTCTGGATATAACTTGTGCGTGAGGGGTCAATCGAGGTTTAGGCTCAAGCGATGTCCCTTTAGCCTCAGTTGTTTGTTTTCGTGTCATATTGGACATAGCTTGTTCATCCCCGTTTGTACATTCATGTTATTTTCAACAACGTGTTCGAGTCCCTATAGGTAAGTTGATCTAATCTTAAAGGGTCCTAATAGTTTCCTGGTTTGAGTGTCTCGTCTGAGATGGGTCTAGGTTGCAGAGGTTATGAATCTATTAAGGTAGTAATGCTTAGAGGTATGTCGAAAGTTCCCTAAAGCTTCGGGATGTGCTTCATGGCCCGTGATATAGTAGTGGTTTTGTGTGTGATTTTCTCACCTCGATCAGGTTTCCCATTGGCACACCATGACGGCGAGTATGCTTTTCGATCACAATTCATTTGCAGATTACTTTTTTTGTCTGTGTTGGGATCAGGGTTTGGGTAAGAGTGTCTGAGGGTCTCCACGTAG